GTGGGCTCGGTGGGTGCTTTGCCGAGGCCATGTCAGGGACTCCTGGCTGTTAACAGCAGTAATTGTGGCAGTAGTAACGATTAGGATGTGCTGAGCTTTGTTGTAGCCTGAGAATGATTCTTTAGAAACACCCGCGTTAGCAGCAGCAGTTATTTAGTGGTGAGGTTTATAAACAAGCTGCTCTTAGGGCTGGAGTAAATAATGTGATGATTTAGAATCATCGAATCATAGAATCATTAAGGTTGGAAAAGACCTCTAAGATCATCAAGTCCAACCGTCAGCCCAACACCACCATGCCCACTAAACCATGTCCCTAAGCGCCTCATCTACATGTCTTTTAAATACCTCCAGGGATGGGGACTCCACCACTTCCCTGGGCAGCCTGTTCCAAGGCCTGACCACTCTGTCAGTAAAGAAATTTTTCCTAATGTCCAGTCTAAACCTCCCTTGGTGCAACTTGAGGCCATTTCCTCTCGTCCTGTCGCTGGTTACTTGGGAGAAGAGACCGACCCCCACCTCGCTACAACCTCCTTTCAGGTAGTTGTAGAGCGCGATGAGGTCTCCCCTCAGCCTCCTCTTCTCCAGGCTAAACAGCCCCAGTTCCCTCAGCCGCTCCTCATCAGACTTGTGCTCCAGGCCCTTCACCAGCTTCGTTGCCCTTCTCTGGACACGCTCCAGCACCTCAATGTCCTTCTTGGAGTGAGGGGCCCAAAACTGAACACAGGATTTGAGGTGCGGCCTCACCAGGGCCGAGTACAGGGGCAAATTTAACAGCGTCTGAAGGTAGCTCACGAACACCGCCTTGCAGAAGCACTTAAGAATGACTGTCGCTGCTCTGCGTTTTGCTCTAGCTGGAAATACAAGCGCGGGGGCTGACAGATGGCCATCCCCAGGCCGGCAGAGACCAGCGACCTCGTGGGTGCTGCCGTTAGCTTCCTGACAGCCAGACCGCTCAGAGCAATCCCCCCGACTCCGATCCAGTGGTAGCTCTGCGGGAGACGCAGCAAAAAGCATATGGTGGGGAGGGCTGGATCCAGCTGTAGGTGACTTCTCTAGCTTTCCAGAGATCGCTTAGCTGGTGAAGGGACTCACTTCTCCGGCGGTGAAGCAGTAGTAGGATCCCTCTGCATATCCTGAAAAACAAGGATATGCCGGCAGTGGTGAGGCAGTTGGGTATGGTAGTAGCAGGAGCAAAAGAAATACTTATCACAGAGCGATATGAAGGTACAATAACAGCCTTTTGAGGGAAGAGCTCTGCTTTCATTGCTTGCTTGTATTTTCAGTGAAAAAGCAGCAGGACCTGTCTCTCTTCAGCTGCGTTCATAGAAGAGATGAAAGCGAGGCACAGTCTTCTGACAAACTAGGCAAATGAAATTAAACTTGCTTTCCGTGCTACCCAAATATTCCAAATTTGACTGTTACGCACTCCTAAAAAGATTTAAAATCCAAATTCAGCAAAAAGGGAGTGACAGGGATAAAAGAAGAATACGTCTCAAGGAAGATGAGATGCAGCAGGGTGCTGTTTTGTTTCTATTCAGTCTAATCAATCTGGCAACCAGCTTCCTAATATTTAGAGCAGTAATCAATGAAGGAGAGTACTAGCTGGTGAATACTAGGAAAGTGTTCTTCATAAAACTGAAATTTGCTTTGGAATCTTTTTCAAGGGTTTGCTCATCCATTCATTGAGCTATACTTTCAGGCTAAACAAAATTTGTCTTTCTATTTAAGAACAATTTGTGCTGCTCTGAAAGCTATTCCCTCTTGCACCAGGATGATCATGTAGTATTAGAAGAATTCAGAAAGATGTTTTAGCTCTACTATAAATTCCCTCTTTTTCTTTTTTTCCAGCACAACAGGCCCCACAGGGGATGACCCAATGCTAGATTTCTTACTTCAGTAAATTCCCTCTTTTTCTTTTTTTCCTGCACAACAGGCCCCACAGAGGATGACCCAATGCTAGATTTCTTACTTCAAGGTAGTGAAAAGTTATGATGTGCCAAGTTACCTGTGTCCGTACTCATGCAGATGGATGCTGGAATAAAACACAGTGGTGTTTCTGCTGTGTCAAAGAGCATCGTTCAGGAGTGCACAACCCAAAGCATCTGCTTTACTGCTGTATAAAAAGTCTAGCTTTTAATTTCAAGTTCAGGCTTTGTTCGGGTTGTGGAGTGAGAGCTGTGTCCTGCCATCTGTAGGAAATGTATCAAAAGCATGTAAGAATGAGAGAATTGACAGCCTGTAATAAGTTCGTGTTGTGTAAATAATGATAGGGCAGATACATCTAGATTCAGTAAACGTGCTTTCATGGCAGCAAAGCATTCCAAACTACACACCATGGACATTACCCTGTCAAGTCCAATGCCTAGTGCTACATCACTGTTACAATACAGAGATTTTTTTTTTTTTAAACTTATATATTAAACAACCAAGAGCCTTAAATGAAATGTCACATCTAATTTGGCACCCAAGACGTGAAGTCTGCAGCTGCCCTTGGCCAACCCTGACAGCTCCGCTCTCTGCGTCAGTTCATCTGCCTGGCAGACAGATCTGCGGCTTCCTCCCGACCCACTGGCATCTGTGCACGCTCTGCTCTACCGTGGGTTTATATATTCAGCACGATGCCAGACACATCTCTTTGTGGTAGAAGGTGCTCTGGCAAACCCTCCAGCCTTCAAAAGGGTCCTCGGTGCCTGCAGCCAGGAGTGTAAGAGTGGCTGCGTCCCCAGCTCCTCTCCAGGAGAGCAGTCGTAAGGGGCGCTTAGCAAAGCGTGTAGAAACAGGCAGTGCATATGCTTTCTCCCCTGTGGGCTCTGGAGTTAGCGTTTTTCTGTGCTGGAGACTTTATTCTCATCTTTGTTTAATAGCTTCTGATGGTTTTCTCTTCCAAGAATTTGTCCAGTTGCTCTCTGGATTTATAGCTGTTAGCCTCTACAGCTTCCTATGGCAGTATGTTCCAAAGGAAGGCATGTTCCCTGGAAAAGTACTACTACTTTTGTGTGATTTCTGACTAATAACATTATTTCAGGCCCTCGGGTTCCTGTTTTATAACAAATCGTGACAAATTTTTCCTTATTCGCATTTCCCAGGCCATTCATGCTTTTACAAACCTCTCCCATCTATCTCCCATATGATTTCTAGGTTGAGGAATCCTATTCAGTCTTCATATAGAAGCTGCTCCAGACTTTTAATTGTGCTTTCTGCCCTTCTCTATTTAATTCCACATGCTTCAGCTAGTTTTTTGAGATCAGAACTACACCCAGTATTTCAAGACCCATGTGGCCATGGGTTTAGACAGTGAGATGATGGTAGTTTTCATGGTGTTTATTTTGCAGTAGTTTGTCTTCTTGATCGTTGTAGAGCATTAGCTCGTGTTTCCCTAAACCTGAGTTGTGCATCCTCGAAGCAGTGGGTCCTGGCTCCTTTGCTTGCCAGTGTACGCCGAGGATTCAGTGGAGGGGAAAGGTAACGCTTATAAAGCATACCCGCCTCTAACTCTTCCGAACTTCAGTTATTTTTATATGCTAAATTGTCCATTATAGGAAGCAGATTGTCCAGTCATTGGAAACATTGCTGGTTTTTTCACAACATAACTCATCTCTGGCCACAAATCCCTACCACTCCAGACTCCCTTAAGAGCAAAGAAATTGAGGGTTATACAGGCGTGAAGGCTGAATCCTCCACGTGCGGAGATGAATGAATGACTGTAGAGATCTACTATTTTAAGGGTGAGTCTTGCTTAATTCCCCAGCCCCCCTCCCAGAACGAATGTGTTTCTGCTGTGTTGTCTGGCGTAGGATTTAAGGCGTCCATCCAGCACGCATCCAGCTCTCTCCTTGTGTTGTTGCGTGGTAGCCATTTAAAGGCAGGTCCACCCACTGGCTGCCCTGCTGTAACCTGTGCGGTGAGGAGAAGAGATGCCTTTGCAGAGGGATGCTCTCCAGGATATGGCTGGCTTGCTGCACTTGTCGGTGGGGGCTGGCTCTGAGGCTTTAAGCACCACTCCGTAGAAATGCCCTTTCTAGAGAACATGTCTGATGTTTGCTGTTTGCATCTCACCTGGGAAACGCTCACGGACAACAGGAAAAGTGGGCTTGGTGCTGAAGTTTGAGCTCAGCTGACTCCCAGGAGTTACTTGGTTGGGAAGAATGAAGGTTTGAAAGCTCTGGAAATGAGGGAGCCTTTGGTGGGAGTCTGTTCTGGAGGGTGGGATGCTGGCAGGTACTCCAGCAAGACTCCAGTCATTAATCAGTTGATGTGCACAGCCAGGGGCTCTCTGCTCTTCAGTTGGTCTGAGGTGGAAAGCAAAGATGTCCTCACTCTGGTCGTTGAATAGCTTGGGAATACTCAGTGTAGACTTGCACACTCGGGCGTAGGCAGCAGGATCCAGGCTGAAGAAATGGGCTTGCAGGACTGTAATGGGCAGGTTGGTGTGGGCCATGCCCCGCCAGTCTCGTTTTGACATATCTTCATAAACTCACAGCAAGCGAGGGCACTGCTTCTGCAGCACAGTGAAGTTCTCTTCTGCGTCCCATCCTGCCGTGGGCTGTCACTTCACTTGTTCCTCTGAACCTCCCTTTTCTGCCCGCATGCCCCAAGGCATCTTCGCTTGTCAGCAACAAGGGATCAGGAGAGACACGGCACTGGTGGTGTGCCTGCAGGAGACCCTGGGCAAGCCGTGACTGAGGTGGGACTCCTCAGAGTCACCTGAATGACTTCGATGCACAGTTCCCTGTGACCTGAGTGGGATGGCAACCCAAAGGGCACATCTGAAAAATCTTGCTATAAATACTGTCACCTTGGGGATAAATCTCTACAAACACACCCAGAAATAAGGTGCTTAAAGTGGTGTCCAGGTCATCCTCATGCTGTACACACGCAGCTATCAGGATGTGGTAAATGTACAGCTGTAACACTTTCTTCTGTTACCTGTGGTTTGCTCTGTTCTTTGTACTTCCATCAGCAAGTGAGATGAGCAAAGACTCCCCTTTGCTTTGTTCCAGGTGAAGATATTCACACAAGCCTTTACGGAGCAGCTGTAGATGTCAACATCAGGCTAGACAGGAACTCCTTGACAGTTGAGAAGACTTACCTCACGCTGTCAAACCACAGATCCGTGGTCATCCACAATCGGAGTGAAATCATAGCCCACTTCCAGTGGAAGGTTTTTGTTACTCAGGAAGAGGAGGATCAGCAGAAGCTGAGGTTTGTTTGAAAGATTCTTTTCAGTAAGATACCCTGCCCAAGGGTAAAACTAATGTACGGCCTCAGAGGAGCGTTGGTGCTTTTGAATGGTTTAGGACCGGTAAACCATCCACAGTGTCAGGGTATGTGTCACGGAGCTTCAGGGTAATGGAGCTCAGCATTTCCCATTCTGGTTCCACCCATACTCCAGCTGAAGATGATGTTTTGGGGAGGAAAGGTTGATTGCAATGACTGGATAGCAAATCTGTGTTTTGTGGGAGCACAAACCACTAAGGTCCAGAGATCCCTGGGCTACAAAGGGTCCATGGGGCTGAGGAAAGTGTCAACAAACATTACCTGGGACTTCATGTAGCTGCAGGTAACATAACTATTATGATAGTCACTGCAGTTTCTTCCACTCCAGATTTGACAAGATGGCAGGCTCCTTTTCTAGCAATGTGCAGGGTAGAGTGCTTCATTGGCCCGGGGAGTTGAGGCCACCCTGCTGTAGGGTGTTGAAGTGCCTTGCGCTGTCCTGGTTTCCAGCACAACGAGGTATTTCTGCCCTTTCTTAGAGGCTGGGGAGAGTTTGGAGGTGGAGGGTTCTGCAGGGAAGGTAGGCCAGCACAGGATCTGGAAGTGCATTTGGGCTTCAGCAACCCATGTCTTCGTGGTGGTGAGAGATGGGGCAGGATCTTCAGAGGGTGTCTTTGGTGAAGCTTTGAAAGTTCCATTTCAGGCAGCAGAGAAACACTTAGAGCCCAGGGAGGGTGAATTAAAAATTACATTTAAAAGCTTGGGTGATTTAGGGAATCCTTGTGTGACTTTTCAGTCCTCGATGGGTGTAGGTGTATAGGAGTTAGTCTGAACCCATAGCTGATCAGGAAGCTGCTTTAAACCGGAGCACTTTTTAAGGGCTTATGAGCAAATAAAGTTCAACGTAATTAGGACAGAAATGCCTTGAAGGCCAAAACTAGTTTTCCACTGTTGTCTATTTTTAATTACACAGTATGTGACTTCTGTGCAAGCTCAGTGTGTTAAAAGAAAATCTTGTGACCTTCTCTTGGTATTTCCCTGGTCCTTTCCTTTACCATCTCTTCCCACCTGCCTGTCTCAGACTGGACCCTGAGTGATCCTCTTTCTCCTCAGAGGCAACCGGGTTTCCCCACAGTAGCCTTCAACCTGTTTTTTTTCCAATTACATTTGATCTCATGCCAGTTTATGTCCTAGACACTGACCAGGACGTTTTGTTCTACCTTACTTGCAGTCTTAGGGATGGTCATAGCTCCAAGGCCACTGTCCTGCTGTCAGAAACGCTTTTGAGGTCTTGGAGCAGGGAGGACATTTTCATGGGAGAAGGCAGTGCAGGACCTCACACTGGGATGTGACCCAAAAAGACCTGGATCGTTAGAAGGTCCATCCAGGCGTTTGCTCTGTCTCCCTTCTGCAGGAATTTCTGGGATGTAATGGTGGAATTATTGTCTGTTGGTGGAGGTTGAGTTGAGGGTTGCTCATCTCAGTGGCTGGAAGCCCCCACAACGCACAGCGTTGTAGGTCAGCCATGGAGAAACATCTCCTATTGCACTCTACGGGGAGCTAGCCAAAGCAAGTATCTGTGGTGCTGGTGACAGCATTTGCCCGAGGCTCTGTCTGTGTACAGCTAGTAACGTCCATGACTGTATTTCCTTTCTAATCGTATTTGAATTTAGCTGGGTGATGATCGCTATCCTGTTTATACTACGTTGCCTCGATTTGCTGCGTATGGAGCCTTCTGCTCATCGCCCCAGAGTTGTCACCTGCTGGTTCTTCATGGCCAGGGGACTGGAGCGTGAAGGGAGGACAGCAATATGCCAGCTAGGAAGCAACTGCTCTGTAGCAGTGTTCCCTTCTCATCTCTTGGTTGTGATCTTTAAACACTAGAACGATTTCTGCTACAACTACCAAGTAAGGGAGAGATTAACTGTGTCAAAGCTCTGTGGGGAAAGCCAAAAAGGAAAAAGACAAGGTGGTTCAAGGTTAGACTTAAGGGTTTGGATTCAGAGGTGCTGGTCCTGACTTCTTTATTGGGTGATGCTAGGCAAAGTCCCTTCCTTTCTCAGGGCCTCTGTTTTCATGCATATAAAACCATTAATTTCACTTGAGGTGAGGCGGTGCCGGAATTCATTAGTTTGCTTTTGAAGTGCTCTGGGATCCTCTGGTGGAAGGCAGCATGGGGAACAGAGAGCAGATATTGTTTGCTTATCCCTGCAGGTCCAAAAGGGAAGAAAAAAGAGTGACGCTAGTAACCTGCAGCGGAAACCCAGCTGCCTCTCCCCTGCCCCTGAAGCGCTGCAGTGGGTGCTCCTTGATCTTTGTTGTCTGTCTCCCACGAGCAGCTCTACGGTAGAAGCCAACTGAGGTTGTTGGTGGATTCTCCATCAGTTGTGGCAGTGGCTTTGAGCCAGGTCGCTCTCTTGAGGGCTGCTAGCTTTCAAAAAAACTCTTCTTAGCTTATAAGCGTGGAGTAAAACTACCTGCCATGCCAGCAAACAAGAAGTGATAATGGGATCCACTTGGGACCCCGTGGCTTGGGGTCAGCCCCTTGCTGGGCTGCCGCTGCTGTTCCTCCCCGAGCGCGCTGCTGCCCCTGCACTTACACGACCTTCTCTGCAAATATGTTGCTTATTAAATTATCTGCTCGGTTTGTCTCTCCGCGTGGCTGCAGGCTGTGTCGCAGGCTGCAGAGGCAGGAAGAGGACGAGACGGATTATTTTCTCAAGGAGTGCGCGGTGGACCCCACTCTCCGAGAACGCCTTTCCCTTCTCTCCCGCACCTTCCAGAACCAGAGGGCAAAGGTGCAAGGAGACTCCATGCTTTTCTTTGATGATATCTTCACCATTGAGCCGGTGGTAAGCGATAGCTGAGAGCCTCCCTTCCTCCTCCTGCCCGAATTGAGGTCACTTGGCAGATCCCTGGTTTGATATGTAAAGAGAGAAAACATCAGGTTTCAGGCTGGGAGAGCTTGTTGCAAAAAGCATTTCTGAACTGCGGGCTCCTGACAGGCAGCGAGAGCCTGCCTAAAGCTGAGCTGCTGCAGGGGCTGTGTCTGTGTCCTTACGGTGTTCAGAGGTGTCAATTATTACATGTAAGGGCACACCTTACACATGTGTATGTAATACGTGTATGGGGATTAACAAAGGATGTTAGGGCACTGTCAGTCCACATACTGACCTGAGGAATGAAATGGTCCTCTGGAAAGGAGGCCAAATTCAGCCCAGGTTTGATCATGGAAATACCAATCCCTTCATATAACCTGGACTTATACCATATCTGAATCTCCCTTCCGGTGTCACCTGTGAGCCTGGGCACAAGACTGGCAGGTTTAAATGGGCTTTTTGAGTTGTATTGCACATAGGTACAGAAATTTTTTTGTTTTTCTGTTTATGCAAGCAAAACCCCATGTCCTTCAATCAACCCGAGCTCTGATTCTGAGTATTTGCATGGTCTGAAACGAAGAATGCCGGCTGTCTGAGCAGTGCAAAATCCCTTCTCATCTTGGAGTAAGCGCTAGAATAAGCCCAACCTCTTCTTTTTTTTTTTTTTTAAATAGGTGAAACTAATTTTTTTTTTTTTCAAGGGAGGGGATCATGTTCTCTTCTTGGTTACTCTTATAGCCCATATAAGGCTGAGAGCCAGCAATGTCAGAACAACTGCAGTTTCACACCACTGTAGGTGACAGCAGCATGGTGTGACCAAGAGATTGTGTCAGAGCAGGAGGAATATTGTAGAGAGCGGGAGCTGGTCGGCTGAGCATTAAGAGCATCCTGCGGTGCATTAGAGCTGAGTTTGGAGGGTGTCCCGGGGCTCCTGCTTCGTTACGGTCGGACTATGTCTCCACAACTAGCTTAACCCGCCCTTGAGCTCCTGAAGTGCATTAAGGTGAGGTCCAGAAGCCTGGCTGCCCACGGTACTGAGTCCTGCTACTCCGTTTAATGATGTACGGACATGAAGTGTCACCTGGCCTCAAGTCTTGAGTGGAAACCTTTCCTAAATGGCTATGTTAATGTTACACAGTTTGCTCCAGGACTGAATATAAGTGGGCTACTACATGAGTCTCTCCCCTTCTGTCTTGGCCAGCATTATCAATCTTTGGATTTCCATTAATTCCATTGTTCATGGAACAATCAGTTTCACATTCAGAGGTTTGCTTGTGTCTTTCTTTTCCCCCTGACATATGGGTGTCTTTACCTTAAATGACAGTAAGTATTTTCTCCTCTTTATCAAATATATAATCTAAAAATCCACTGCCGCTGACTTCATAATCCTTCTCTCCCGTAATCTTTTGCCGTGACAGAGACCCTTCTTGCACCACCGTGTAAATCTGCTGGAGAGGCCCCCCAAAGCTGAGACCTTGCTGCCTCACAGACCTTCTGGCCAAAAGTGGCTGCTCTCTTCCTGCCTGTCACCCGTGATGTCCGAGAGCACCCTACAGAAATAATCAAACCCTTGTAACAAGTGGCTGGAAGAAGCAATTGCTTCCAGAGATTAGGGAGCTGATGGAGGGATAGTAGTCCTCCTGGGCAGGTGGCTTTGCGGGGTTTGTGCAGAAGCTTTGCTGTGTGAGTGGGCTGTCAGCTGCCGGTATTTTCAGATGTCGCTATCTGTAGAAGCTGCAGCAGGTCACTTCAGTCTGTATAGGGTTAACTTGCTGATGAAAATAATAACAAAAAAGAGGAGGCAGTGATTTTGGAATTAGGAGGTGACCATGAACATTTTGAGCAGCTGTCCAAGCCTGTGGGAAACAAGCTGTTATGCAACTCTGACTTTCCGAGTGCATCTCAAATTCAGTTTAATTTATTTTTGCAAATACACATGATATGTCAGCAGAAGCAGCTGTGATAGAAGCCCAGGTGGCTACCAAAGGACAAAGTCCTTGCTTTTTGCTGCATCCTCCCCTTAGCTGTAAGTCACATTGCAGACACGTGGGAGCTGACTCCTTGGAAATGGAAACCAGAGGAAAGGGAGGGCAAGGATTTGTTACCATTGCACTGACCTTGACAAGTCATCACTGTCCTGTCATTGCCTGGTAGCGACTCCTCAGTGTCATGTGTTAACTCTGAGCCCATGGAGGTGGTCTTCAAGATCTCCAGGTTATGAAACTGCTACTGTTGTTGATCCAGAAGCCGGGCCAGGAGGTGACAGTGTTGTTTGTTCCTGCCAATCTCCACCTCAGCTGGGGAACCAAGCTGGTCCCCATCCAAATGAGAGGTTACTACAGGGCACTTTTTGGCAGAGGCACTATCTCCAGTGGGAGCTATGGTCCATCCCACAGCTCGCTGTGGGTTAGTTATTTATGGAAAGAGGCAGATGTTAGCTTTGGCACTGCCTTTCTCCTAAGTGCCCTGAACTAGCAGGACGCGCTTTGGGTGTCAATTTGGTACTTTTGTTGCCAGCTCTGTCTTGGGTTTTCTGTCTGCTTTGAGCAGTGATTTCCTTTCCGTGGATCGCCTTCCCCCTCTGCAAAACAAAGCAGGGGATTTGGCCAACAGTTGGTGGTGCCTGGCTTTTGAAGACCAGCTTTTTCTTATTCAGGCTGGTGGAGATCTAGCAGATTCTCATTATTTAGGGGCTGAGGGAGGGGAAAATAGGATCTGCAAGTATTTACGGTTGGGCTCTTGCATAGAGACTGCTTCTGTAGCTGTGAGTCATGGTGTGCTATCCCCTCCCGTATGACGTTGCTTTTTGCTGTAGCAAAGCCAGGGTACAACAGCTGGAGTTTTTGTGCTGTATCATCATATATCCACCGTCTGTATTTTATGCCACCTGCCAGCTTCAGGCTGTCTGAGGCTGACATTAAGCCAGAAGTGTTGCAATATCATGTTCGCAGCACTATATAGTTTTATTTTTGTCCTGGTTAGCATCCACGGTAGTTTTCCATGCTCTCATTCAACTGCCATCCTATAGAGAATGTGCTAGCCCAGGCAGACCGCTGGCTCCTGAGGTGTCCCGAGGCTCATACGCATGTAGCAGCAGCCCGGAAGGGTGGGTAATGAGGCGTATCCTTTTAACCAGCAGTTCTTTTTTTTTCCCCATGGGGTAGCA